ACATCGTACATATTTGACGAACTGTATTTGGACCAATCGACAATTTTAGCTTTTTTATCGGCGCACGCATTTCTTATCATAATCGCACGTAATTCTGATAGCAAATGATTCTTCAAATTATTAGAAAAATTTATTGTCAATTTAAAGCTGAAGCAAATGTTTGGAAATTAGCACACATTACTCATATAAAAAAAGAAAAAATGTGCTGTCGAGCGCATTGTGTACCCACTAAGGTGAGGAGGGATGCCTGCTTGTAAGTATCAATTGCAAAAAAAGCATTTAAATGATTGACAGTTGGTTTTGAAGACAAGTGCGGCGGCATTAAATAAACAAACATTAAAAGTACGTGTCTTTTGATATGTGCGGCCATAAATCTACTCGGATGGAAATACAAAGTTTGCAACAGAAGTTATATGCATGTAATAAGTTTCAATATAATTATATCAATAATTATATTAATTTTAATTTTTGTAAAAAACTTCATTTTTGAGAACAATTACTGCATATTTCTTAAAATTATTGCTTATCAATAAAACAATTAAATTGTTTTTAGTGGGTGTGCAGTATGCGCGGGAAAAACTTTTTATACTGTATGCAAATACACATGCAATTAATAATTAATAAATTAATAATTTTATTTAGTAGAATTCACCCGATAACACCGCCTGACATTTGCGCAGCATATCAGTATTAATAATAATATTATATATAAAATATTAAATAATCTTTTATTATCGATATGTAAGTATATATTTATTTTTCTGTATTAATTAATAAATATAATAAATATACATATATGTACATTAATTTATTACATATAAAATTGTATAAAATAAATATAACGGTTTATTTTTTTGGGGTTATAATTTAAATATGTATATATTAACGGTTTTTAAGAAGATGTAAAAAAAAAACAGTGCTGCCATGTTAAATTTTTTCGAACATCAGCCATTTGATGCCTGCCAGTGTCAGGGTTTTAAGATAACATAACAACGTACCATACATATATAATGTATTATACATATACAATCAAACTTCCATAACTCGGAGTAACATTTTGCAAAGAAAAGGTTCGATTTATGGAGACTTCGAGTTAGAGAATTTTTTTATTTGTTTTTATTTTTGAAAGAAGAATTACATTTTAAGTTATTTATTTATTTGCAATCAAATGCAATATTCAGAAATTAGGGTTTGGGGCATTTTTTTATTTTCAGTAAAAAGAGATTCCACTTTATTCACACTCTAATAGTGATCATCAGTTGTTGTATCATTGGTTTGCAAACAAAAATTTAGAATTTTGAATGAGTCTTCGACTTCGACTTGGTAAACAATTTCATCCACCGAACCCTCATCATCAATTTCCGTCGCGCTTAAAATCGGAACCAATAGTTCAAAACTATATAATGCTCAATAATATCGTCATCTATAGGAAAGCTTGATATATAAATTTTATTGTCAAGCTCATATAATGTAATGGTTAAGAGTAGCATAGGAAGTTATTTTATTTACTTTACTTTTACTTCACTTTTACATCAATTCACGGTCTTCATCAATGTTATTCAAGAAAGTTAAAGGAATATCGTTCTCTTCGTCCCATGTAGAAAGTTGGCCAAATCCAGCAGTGCGCTACCGTTTATCAGCGATGGCATTTCCACAAAGAAGCAACATAAAAAAGAAATAATTGAAACATTTGGTTTGGAAAAAGGGACTTTCCCTAACACCAAAATGGATTTCTACTTAAAACAAAAATTCGAGTTATAGAATGCACTTTCTCATATTCCTATTGGCACTTGCCATTATTTTTATTCGAGCTATAGAGTAATTCGAGTTATAGAAGTGTGGAAGTAAAAGTTTGACTGTATATACAATAAAAACATAATAATATATATATAAATAAAATTCAACAATTATTTAATTTGATAAAGTATGATTAAAGACTGGTCAATTTATTTAATAAAATTATTATTTGAATATAAATATATAGCTTTATATACATATGTATGCATACATATATATATATATGTACATATATTAAATTTACAAATATAAATATTTATAGTTTGTATTAATATGATTTATTGAACAGCACAATGTATTATTTAGTTAAGTCTTTTTTAGGCCTACCTGGCCTTTTTACGAATAGAATATGATTAAATTTAAAAAGATTTTGTTTAGGTTTAAATAAGTTTAAAAATTACACATCACAATAATTTAAAATGTTCGCTTTGAAAAATTGGATTCATAAATCGTTTTAAACAAATTTTTTGCAATGAATTCCTTTTTCTTGCTACTGATCACAAACAGATTTGATTCACTCTTTTCTTGGAAGTAAATTTCTGTATGTTTCTGAAATTTTAATTTTTGTGTATTTGACTTTCTGTGGAATATATAGGTACACATTGTAATGTAATCCACAGGCATTACTCTTTAATCGTCACACCTTCATCGATCTTCTGCGCAGTCATATTTTGAACATTTCTGGGGTTCCCCATTGTTATCTTATATTCTAGTCAAGACGGGTTTTGTTTTCCAATAAATTTCACAACTCTGGCACCTTCTATCAGTTAATTCAATTCATAATAGCAACGTCCAATTGTACTTCGTAATACCTTCTATTTAAATATCGTTATATCACATGATTTGCACATTATTAACTAATCTTTTACAAGTATTTTAAAGTACTTCGTTTTATAAACAACATATGTAAAAATTTAAAGCTTTAACCCTTTGCTACCCTTTGCTCTACTTACGAATGTTTGCTGCTTTACATCACTGTCAAATCAATAACTTCTCTACTGAATCGGTGTCGTCTTACACCGACTATTTATGGAGGTCCCATTTTGATAAAACTTTAATTTAAAAAATTTTGTTGTTCAATATAAAGAGGTTGAAAGCTAATGTTCTCATTCAGATCCGGTACCAAGTGATTTTATTGTTTTATCCTTTAAATATAGTAATTTTATGAAACAAAGTACTTTAATCTTTATAAAAACTATGAAAGGGATGTGTGTAATTAATTTATTGATATTATCGGATCTTTTTAGATTCAATCGATGATTTGACTTGTAATTTAAGTCAATATCAGTTTGTCAGTTCAGAGTACATATTTATGAACATACGAGTAGTATGAAGTATACGGAAATAATGCATTACTTAAACAATTGTATTTTAATGAAATTTTAACTAAGATAAGATTCAATATCAATAACAAACAAAAATGTACATAACCAATATTCTTAAAGATAGTTAATTTTTGCATATATCACAAAACTGTAACAAGTAGTCCCATTCATAAGCAAACAATCTAATTATATTATACAGTAATTATATCAATGCTGTCTACGGCAGCGTTTCCCAAATTATGGTTTGTAACAGGTAAATTGCAGATAATTGTATATTATAAAAATATTTTTAAGAAAAAAATAGAAGAGTTGTAGCTCTCCTTCCTTTTTTGGAACAGGAGAGTTAAATCGAACAATCGGAGAAGTGTAATATGATGCGCAATATGGAAATGCACTTAAAGCTGTAATTGTTATTGAGATATAGTCATTTTTGATATTTTTATAGTCTATATATTAAGCAAAACTAGTCACATTGCTTAAGGATGAACACTGTTTGAATCTATCTAAATTGACTAAAGTAGATCTCACAAGCATTTGATTTGATTTTTAACAAAATGATGAGCTTACAATATAAAAATATACAAAACATTTGTCAAATACAGAAGATATCTACCGAATACCAAGGAGTGCTTGAAGATAATGCTTTATTTTCGCCGATATATTTCAGTTTTTTTATAGCCACAAACCTGACTCTGTGTGCCTCAACTGAAACTCTACTCTTATTTGTTTTCAGAAACAAATGAGCATTACAAATCTGAGCGCTATTGGTTTACACTTCGATCCTGTTTTTATTCACCCACATCCAAGTTCGATTCAATATAATTACCTAATTCTTTATATTTTATCCAACTTTACTCGATAATTTAACTTTTTTCCCATCTGTTTTCAACGTTTTATGTAGTTACTATCAAGTCGGCTTTTGGGTTTAATAACCACAACAACAGTAAAGAATTATAAGTAAATAAATTATTCGTAAAGGTCTTTATTTTGTATTATTACTTCTTATAGGCAACGGTCTACTGTCTTCTTTTCGTCTCTTTCTCTGTACCTGTTGTGAAAATAATATCTACTTCATTATATGGTAAAAACTTCATCGTAGATACTTTTGTATATTTAAATAAATAAATAAATAACTTCATTTAAATAAATAACTAAATATCAATTTGTAATATAATAAACTAATATTTCCAACAGAAAATGTTCAGCTTCATCTACTATAACTTCAACAAGCAGAAATCAAAGCGCTTTTTAGTCTTTTTAAAACTTTATTTGTTACTCATATAAAATGCAACATGTTTAAATCTTTTAAGTCTCCAATTATGTAGAGTTTTCTCTTTTGTGGAGATGTACATATATATAACATAGCATTAGTAATAAAACAATGTCTTAATTATTTGTTTTAAATTAAAAAACGGTGATAAAATCCTTTAATAGACATACAAACATTAAAAAAATTTCTTATATTAAATTTGCATAAAATCTAACATATTTTTTGAAAAATATATTAAAATAAAGAATGTATAAGTTGCACAAACAATGTTTTACATATAAATATAACACAAGCATTGTTAAAAAACAAATTAATACAAATATAATTTATTACATCAAATTATTGCATTTATAATTTCGTTGTCTAAAAAATAATGAATTTTGTTTGGTAATGAAAATTATACAATTTACAAATTGTAATAATAAAATATTATTAATTAAGATGATTTAATTTTCATTTATGTATTGAGCATTTATTACACTTTTTTAATTTTCTTTTATCGTTACTTTTTTTAGTCTTGCAAAATAAATTTTTTCCAAAAAAAATTCAAATTTTTTTTGTTTAACCATGAAAAATAAATTTAAAATGCTTAGTAAGCATTTCTTAAAATAATTAAAATAATAAAATATAATACTACCGCTTATTAAATTTAGAAAATGCCAAAAATTGCAGAGTTCAAGTATGTCTCCATGTATTATATTGCCAACATTGTCTGCCGTTTGCATTATTGTTGTTTTAAAAAGTCAGTAATAATTTTTTTATGTCTGCTGTTGATTCAGTATTTGCACATAATTTGCAGGGAATAGTCCATAACGATTTTTGCACAGGCCACGCCACCAACCTTCATCGATCTGTAAATGTTTTAAATTATAATTTTAAAATAAAATGAGTATAATATTTTTTTTAACCATTTCTATATGTGTAATTGTATCATCAGGATCAAATGATATTTCATCATCATCTGCTGCTTGATAATCATACAAAGCAATAGCATGTATACCAGTGTCTTCGATATAATCAGATAAATTTTCTGAATTGGCATAAATTGCTTCTTCTGGCTGTGCAGCTGTTGTGGAAGATGTGGAAGTTGGTGTGGTAACAATCGCATCAGGAGTTGTATTAATATTAGTAGTTACTGGTGTATTTTGTTGGGCATTAACTGGGCTTTGTTCTACTTTAGGTTCAATTACTTTTGGTACAACATCAATAACTTGCTGTATGATTTCATCCTGATTTTGATAAACTGGTTCCGGTTCAACAGCGACAGTTTTTTGTGGTGATTCTATTTCTGGCGGCGTAGCGACTTGATGTATTTCTATAGCTGGTATAACATCCGGTGGTAAAGTTGTAACAGTCTCTTTAATTTTAGTTTCATGCACACTAATAGTTTTAGTTTTTTCAACTTCTGAATCCCATTCCACCTTTTTCGGCTCATCCTGTTTTGTTGCTTTTGGTATGGTAATTGGTTCTTTACGTGGTGGAGGTGTTTCTTGCGTTGGCGATTGCATTTGATTAAATGCACTAATAGCATTACCAATACTGCTTTCACGTCCGGTATTAATTTTAGTACGTGCACCTTTTGGTGGTGGTGCACGCGCTTCCTCAGCTGCTGGCAATGGTGTATTTTCAACGACTGTCCTTTTGGCTGCTAACTCACGATCACGTTTATCTTTCTCTTCACGTATACGTTTTTGTTCCTCGGCGCGTTTCCTCGTTTCCTCTTCGGTATTTTTGGCAAGATTTTCGAATTTTGCACGCAAATTAGATGGTTTAGCACCCTCAATGTTCGGTTTGACTTTTGTGTAACTAGTACCTATCGCTTTTTTATCACTGTCATCATAACCAGCGGCAGATTTATCCATACGATCTTTTTGCACACCAAACTTTCCACCAAAACCCTAAAAACGGATAGGGTGAATTAAATTTTTTTTTTAAATTATTATTGAATTTTACTGTGCTCATAAATAAATATAAAATAGAATAAATTTAATAACAATTTATTTCTTTGAGTATATTTTATTTTCATACTTACAACTTTGTGATCTAATTGACTTTCATGCTTTTGTGGTGCTTCAATATGATCCCATCCTACAGCAGACTTATCTTTACGATCTTCTTGTACTCCAAACTTACCACCAAAACCTTTACTGTAATCTGTGTGAAATAAATTAATTTAGTATTGATTTTTCACCTTCTTCTGTCAACTTTAATATCACACCTTTTTGTGACTCATGCTTTTCAACTTTTTCGACATGATCCCAGCCAACGGCAGATTTGTCTACACGATCTTTTTGTACACCAAATTTGCCTCCAAAGCCAGTTGCATAGTCTTTTTGCGATGCATGTTTTTCTACTTTCTCAACATGATCCCATCCAGCAGCCGATTTATCTACACGATCTGTTTGTACACCAAACTTGCCACCGAATCCTTCACTGTAGTCTTTTTGTGAAGCATGTTTTTCCACTTTGCCTTGATAATCATGCCCTACCGCTGATTTATCCATACGATCTGTTTGAATGCCAAATTTTCCACCATAACCATAACCAGGGTTTAACTCTTCAATTTCTTTTTTCTTTTTCTCTTGATCAGCTTTTTCGGTCTCTAAACGCAATTTTTCCATACTAAATAAAGTTAACATTGTTCAAATCTTTCACTTTTACTAAAAATGTTTTTCAATACTCAATCGCTCCAGCAGTGCGTCCACTACCTTCAATGGTTTTTGATCCCCATCGTTGCTCTTGCTCACTAACATCGTTTACAAAATCTGGATCGGTTTCCCAATCATCATCTTCTGCAGCCGTACCAGAGTTTTGTATTTGTAAACCAGCTGTAGCCTTCCACATATTTAACTACAACACAAAAAAGATAATATATGATTAGTCATTAAATAAAACCAAAGATAACAAAAATTTGATATATGATAACCAGCTTAGGGAGTGGTTTCCTTATATACATATAAATTTTACTTACTTTTATATTATTTTATAAACAAGCCACTTCAAATAATTTTAATATATTTTATAAATTTTGTTATTGCAGCTCTAACCAGAAATTTTAAATATTAATAATAAACTTTTAATTTACAAAAAATAACAAATAATTATTATGAATGAATCAACTTGGCGTTATATGACATTTCTTCACTTAACCGGTTTGTACAGCGGCTTCTGTGGTTTGCAATATTTAACCGTTTCGTTGACAGAAAACAGATGTCAAACTCATTTTTGCAATGTTAATAATAAAAATTTAAAAATTTTGTTGTAGTCATAATATTTTAATAATATTCATAATTTTATAAAAGAGTATTATAATATCCTCTCTATACCATACTCTCTCTATAACACCCTTTATGCTAATCTCATTGTTATACTTAGTGAATGCTAAACCTGCATTTACACTGGCTAAAAATCTTTAGCAAGATTTTTGAATTAAACTTAGTACTAACTTTTATTTCGTACTAAAAATTTACATAAGATTTTGTGTTAAAAAAAATATGACTAACGTTTGAGATTGTGGCCATTAGAGGCCAGTGTAAATGCCATATTAAGTAATTCTTTAATTTTTACTAATTGTTAAACTTATATATAGTTTTAAAAGCATTACCAATAAAAACTGAGTAATATATATTAAAGCTACTCTCCTACATATTTCGAAAAATGTTTTATATAATTAATTACAATGAAATTGCAAAAATCGAGAATATTATATCAATGCACAAATTCAATTCTAGAATCGAATTTTGAATTTAATTTATTGAGGAATTGGCTGAAGATTAAATCCGTTTACTAAAATTTTATTTAGGAATTTCTCGTTAGGTTAATGGGAAGGTATGGGAATAGTTTTCTAATACATTTTCGTCAGTTAACAGATTTAAATAAATTAAGTCAGTTTTTTCACATTTTGAGAGTTTGTAAATGAAAAACTAAAACGAAAATTTTGAGCGAAGATGTATTTTTCTTTTAATAAAAAATAAATTATTAGAATATTATTTAATAATAAATAATGCAATATAAAAAAAATACAATGTTACAAATTATATATGTATAATAATCACTAAACCAATGGCTCATTCTTGCATACAAAATTTCAAGCGCGAATGATCACACATTCTGTATATATGCGTTCCAACGAATGCGTTCCAAATATGTTTCATTTTATTTGGGTTGTGGTTATTTAGTGTTCAAACTCTGTTGTCTTCTCACAACCGACATACGGATTTCATTCTTATGCAAAATAGCAACTCTTCAAAATTTTATTCTTGATTTAATAATATTTACTGCCCATACTTATCAAAGTCCAGCACTTCTATTTTTTTTTCTAGTAATCATTAAAGAAAGCACTATTATTGGTTGATTTTGAATTATTTATAATTTTTTAAAAAGTATTGTATGTTTTTTTTGTATATACAGCAACTGCCGCTTTTATCTTGTGAACAACATTATAAACATTACACCATATATTAAATTACTTAAATTTTCTGCGTTTTCTTCCATGCTGATTTATTTTATTCAACCAATACAACATTTAATATAATCTGTTTACAATTAAAATGTAAACGCGGAAAATCTCTAAAACTAGAACTTGTTGACACATAAAAGCTCTTTCCCATTCCTTAAGTAACTCATGATAATGTAAACGCAAAAAGCTCAATGTTACTATATGACTTACTAAGTAAGTAGTGAAAACGTAGTATAACATTCCAGGTAAATGTCACAATATAAGGATTTTGTAAACATATCAAAAAAAATTAATTCGAAAACAAACAAAAATCATATATTAGTATTTTATATATAAATAAAATGTTTTATTTCATATTAATACAATAATTGTTATTTAATTATTATATTATTATAATTTTTAAAAATAATTACTATTTTATTAAAATCGTTGGCATCTAAACTGACATTTATCAATTTCTTTTTCACAACGTTTCAATCGGTTCAGAATTTCAAACATGGCGTTGAAATGAAACACCGCTTCCGTTGTGTGGGCCAAATGTTCGGTTTTTTCTTTTCGTACGGTTCTTAAACATGACTGGTTTAACGAATAGGGTAAGTGCGGAATTTTTGGGAAAAAAATTAAGTTAAACTACGTTTTAAATATATATAAATTTGCAGTAAAGTGTCCTTTAGCTATTTTTAATAAAATGTTGATTAAAATTGCAGTTTTACTATTGATAAACCGTACTTATAAATTGATATAGTGAAGAAAGTTTTTGTGGAATCTCACACGTGCCACAAGTGACGCTATCTGTCAAATTTTTAACGAAAATGAAGTTACAATTAAAAGAAGCACTAATTTTAAAGTGAATAATATAAAATCGAATTAAAAATCGTTAAATGGTTACATTTATTGTGTAAAAATTTTGCAGTTGAATGAATTAGTGTTAACATAACCTTATTTTTGATTCGTGTATGTTGTATTTGTAACATTTGCTTTACATTTTTTATTTATAATTGCAGGCCGTTGTTATTGATGGTCGTGGCCATTTGGTCGGCCGTTTGGCTTCCGTCGTTGCTAAATATCTTTTACAAGGTGGCAAAGTAGCTGTTGTACGATGCGAAGAATTGAATCTTTCTGGTCATTTTTACAGAAACAAAATTAAGTTCTTGGCTTACTTGCGTAAACGTTGCAATGTTAATCCTGCCCGTGGTCCATACCATTTCCGTGCACCATCAAGAATTTTCTACAAAGCTGTTAGAGGTATGTGTAAATTGCAATTATTTATATCTGGAGTTTGAGTTATGATGTAAAAAATAATTTTACCTACATTATTTGATGTATAATGAAATGAAATCAAACTCACTGATAATCATCGTTGCAAATCCTACATTCTTCAACCTTTCTACAATTTATTAATATTTACTATTGTTTTCTTATAGGTACGTAAACATGTTCTCAATTTATACTTATTGTATGTATTTCCTGATGATTCTCTACAACTTACCTACATTATTTGAATCCAGAATATGTAACAACACATGACTGAAACAAATTCCAACAACGTGAATACGCATAACTAAGTAGTTTCTAATTAGGTTTGTTTTTTTTTTTCTTTTTAAAGGCATGATTCCACACAAAACATTGCGCGGCCAAGCTGCACTTGCACGTTTACGTGTCTTCGATGGTATTCCACCACCATACGATACACGTCGTCGTGTTTGTGTACCAATTGCTATGCGCAGCTTGACATTGCGTTCGGACCGTAAATACTGTCAAGTAGGTCGTCTATCACATGAAGTTGGTTGGCATTACCAAGATGTTGTGAAGAGTTTGGAAAGAAAGCGCAAGGCCAAATTGCGTGTCACACTCAAGCACAACAGAGCAATGAAGAAGTTGACTCACAAGGCTCGCGAAAATATTGCAAAGGCTGCCGAACCCTTCAACAAAATCATCAAGTCTTATGGTTACGAATGTTAAAATTCGTAATTCGTTTACTTGTGTAAATTTAATAAGTGAAAAACATAAATCTTTTTAAATAAACAATAAGTTAAAAAAACAGCTGTTCTACTATATTTTAAAAATTTTTATTGTTTATCTAAAGTTTTGCACTTTAAATTTGGAATTCTATTGTCGCTTATATGCCGCTACCATATTTTTTTGCCAACAAAAGTTGAATTTTGCCATTTCCACTCATCTGGGACACAGAGCATGTCTGCCACCATCTACAGATAGCTGTACAGCTGTTATAAAACTAGCCATATCGCTGACAAGAAAGCATTTGGACTTGAAACTTCATTTGGATACCCGTTCCTGCCCAATGCATGCGACTGGTTACCTCATTCCAGCAATGCTTTGTATGTTTTTCGTCCATTTCACCACTTCACCACACTGGATATCTTAACTATACAACCCTTTGTTTTAATAAGCTCTGATGTTGCAAGCATAGAAAGTTGACCTTAGATTTATTTGCATTGTACGATCGAACTGTTCCAAATCTGTACATTCTATAGAACCCATTTCCATAATACCAGCGCCATTAACAAGCACATTCAGATGTTTGTATTTTTGTACAACTTTTTCAAAAGCAGTTTGGATATCACATTCGCTTCTCATGTCTGCCTTAATTGTTATTGGCGGTTCCTTAGATTTGCATTTCTTCGCGGTCTTTTTAAGACCTTATATACCAGAAACTGCACCAGTGATGAATACCACTTTGTCCTTAAAGTTCATTTTAAGTTTGCTGACAGATTCCTTAGACATCCGCCTACTGCACACCCACAAAATGCGGTATAACAGATATTGTGTTTTGGCAGCGGACATATTAAAAAAATATATTTGTTCAAATATTCTTATTGGAAAAAATAAAATAATGTAGTATTTAAATAAATTACCATCTAATTTAATTTCGAAATACGGATTAAGTTAGATATTTTTCCTAAATCATCTGGGACACAGTGCGTGTCTACCACCATCTACAGATAGCTGTACAGCTGTTATAAAACTGGCCATTTCACTGGCAAGAAAACATATCGCACTTGAAACTTCAGTTGGATTCCCGTTCCTGCCCAATGCATGCGATTGTTTACCACGTTCAAGCAATGCCTTGTATGCTTCTTCGTCCATTCCACCTCTTTTTTGCAAATTCGTTACAATAGTACCTGGATTAACACAATTACAACGTACACCCTTGAGTCCCAAATCTAAAGCAACACTCTTTGTTAATTGATCTACTCCTGACTTGGAAATATTGTAAGCTACCAAATTTGAAAAGGAACGGACACCACACACACTGGATATATTAACTATACAACCCTTTGTTTTAATAAGCTCTGGTGCTGCAAGCATACAAAGTTGATACATGGATCTTAGATTTGTTTGCATTGTGCGATCATACTGCTCCAAGTTTGTAGATTCTATAGAACCCATTTCCATGATACCAGCGCCATTAACAAGTACATCCAGACGTTTGTATTTTTGGATAGTTTCTTCAAAAGCAGTTTGTATATCGCATTCACTTTGCAAGTCTGCCTGAAGTGTCAGCGGTTTTTCCTTGGATTTACATCTTTGCGCTGTTTTCTCTAGACCTTCTTTACTTCTACCAACCAAGGCTAATTTAGCACCGAGTTGTGCAAAGTCCGCAGCTGTTTGTGCACCTATGCCAGACGAAGCACCAGTGATAAATACTACCTTGTCTTTGAAATCCAATTTAAGTTTGCTGCCATTAGTGTCACATTTCGTTGAATTTAGCCTTCTGCACATCCAGAATTTGTGGTATAATGACAGATATTGTTTTCTGGCAGCGGACATATTTAAAGTATTACATATTAAATTTATTTACTTTTTTTACGAAAAAAAAATAATCTAGTATTTGAATGCATTGCCATCAAATTTTATTTAATTTCACAATACAAAATATTCAGATTTATGTCCTAAACCAGCACCTTTGAAAAGATTATAGCTAAGCTATTGTATTTCTTAGTCTCAAAATATACTATACTTATTGCAATCTGCATTTATCTTGGACACATTGCATGTCGACCACCGTCAACTGGCATGTTGACACCAGTTATAAAGCTGGCTTTCTCGCTAGCTAGAAAGCAAATCACACCCGAAACCTCATGCACTTCCCCAGCCCTTCCCAATGCATGTGTAGTTTTACAATGTTCCAAAAATTTTGCATATGCAGTTTCATCCATACCACCACGTTTATGCAATTCCGTTGCTATAACACCTGGGTTGACAGAATTGCAACGCACACCTTTTGCTGCCAGTTCTAAAGCAACGCATCGTGTAAACTGATCAATAGCCGTTTTTGATATATTATAAGCCAATACATTCGGGAAAGCACGCAAACCACAAACACTTGATATGTTGACAATATTTCCCTTGGTTTTTATTAATTCCGGTACGGCCAACATTGTTAATTGATAGACAGATCTCACATTAGTATTCATAAGACGATCGAATTGCTCTAAGTTCGTGTTTTCGATGGAACCGGTTTCAATTATTCCTGCAGCATTTACAAGCACATCCAGGCGTTGGAATTGTTTTATAGTTTTGGTTATAATATGCTGAACTTCCAATTCATTATTCATGTCAGCTTTTAACTCAAGGATGGTTTGAGTTGCTGCGACATCATTGATAATTGCTTTTTTGCAATTACTTGCTGTTTCTCTTAGTTTATCTTCATTTCGTCCAACTAAAGCCAAACTGGCACCCTCTTTTGCAAACTCAACTGCGGTGGCTGCTCCAATACCCGAACTGGCACCAGTAATAAGAATCACTTTTCCTTCAAAAGATACCATAATTAATATATTGATCTAATATTTAATTAATTATGAAAAGTAGTAATAGCGCACCTGCCTCATAAGTTATTCGCAGTATAATGACAAAATGAACAAAGATGTGTTGAAAAATTTGTTTAACTATATTCTAGATATTGTTTGTTTTGAAGACAAGTTTGTTTTGGAATTTAAAGATTTGTACGAATTGATATAGATCGCTATATAGTACACATAATAGAAAAGTAGAATGAAATATTCCTTTTTTAATTTTATTACTGAGTTTGTGGAGTCCTCCCTAGGTAAGACATAATTATATTATTTTGCTAATTTCTACATACGGAGTCTGCTTTTCGAAATAAGAGTTATGGAGTATAAAAATTTAATGTCAATACCTTCTGAGAAAATAATATTCGAGATACCGTGCCTTGGGGGGTTATGCGGAAGGAAATGACAATTATTTTATAACGAAGTGCGCGTTATTGACATTCCACTCTATAAGTGTTTTTTATTCAACATAACCGTTTTTACTAACAATACTATTTTCAAAAAGTTTATAAAGTTTTATGTTCTGTGCTTAACTTTTTTATGTGATTAGTTAGGTCTAATTACTCTTCGATTAGTATAAAAAATGCGACAGTTTGAACTACGACAAATTAATTTCATTCAAAATTTGTTGGCATTGAACTGTGACTAGCATTATAACTTTATTTGTAATTATAATCAACAAGTGTTGATTTATAAAAAAAAATAATATATTGCTATCCCTTCCGAACTTACGATAGTTTAAAATAGAAAACAATAATTGTATAAAATGAGCACATAATAAATTTATTTTAGAAATAAATGCAAATCTGTGCAATATAACATTTAAGCTTTTAATAGCTTCTCGTATACAAAAACTTAACGTGGGCACATAGCATGTCTACCACCATCAACAGGTAAGCTAGCACCAGTAGTAAAACTAGCACAATCACTTGCCAAAAAGGTAATAGCATTCGATACTTCGCGAACTTCACCTGGTCTACCTAAGGCGTGAGTGGTACGTGAATGTTCTAAGAATTTAGCATAGGTGGCCTCATCCATGCCACCACGTTTATGTATTTCTGTAATAACCACACCGGGATTAACAGCGTTGCAGCGGACACCCTTCAAGGCCAGTTCAAGGGCAACACAGCGTGTGAATTGATCAACAGCAGCTTTGGAGATGTTGTAAGCCAACACACCCGGAAAAGAACGTATGCCATTCACACTCGAAACATTTACAATATTTCCTTTTGTTTTTATTAATTCTGGCACAGCTAACATGGTTAACTGATATACTGAACGTATATTTGTGTTCATAACTCGATCGTATTGCTCAAGGCTGGTATTTTCAATGGTACCGGTTTCCAATATTCCAGCATTATTAACCAATACATCGATTTTATTATATTTGGATAGTGTATCGTTTACAATGCGCTTCACATCGTCTTCTTTGTTCATATCAGCTTGTACCAGCAGTGGTTCATTGCCTTTGGCTTTTGTTACCTTTTCTGCTACTTCTTTGAGTTTCTCTAAATTACGTCCCACGATGGTTAGAAGTGCACCCAATTCGGCAAAATGTACTGCTGTTTCAGCACCTATGCCAGAACTGGCACCTGTGACAATAACGACTTTATTGTTGAAGTCCATTGTAAATATGCGATGACCCACTGGTACTTATGGCACAGTTTGATTAAAATAACTGTTTTTATCAAAGCTCTTCAAAATTAGTACTTGATGTTTGTTATACAATATTGACAGGGTGCCAGATATTTTCTAAATTTCTTATGATGGTTTATATATAAAGCGTTTATTATTTGTAATAATCCCTTTAAATTGCCATTAATTGGAAGTGTTGCAACTGTTTAAGAAAACTCAACATTTTAAAAATTTGTATTAAACAAAACGAATAGTTTTAAAGGCATTTATTCAAATAAATGGCATTAATTGAAATACGCAATTGTTGTTGCAGATAAGTTTTCACATATACGTTTACATTACGAACTTAAGCTATTGGAGTTTGCTAAAGTTAGTTTCCAAACGTAAAGCGTTTACATTATTGCTTTGGGTTTTCAATTAGACAGTTTTTGATATTTTTTCATTTGTTTACGTTTTCCATCTGCTTAGATATCCTTTGTTACAAGTTTACAAACGAAAGTAATATGTCATTTCGACACTTTTTTAGCAAAAATGTATTGATAATATGCGGCGGATGCGGCGGTGTATTCATAAAAAATAATTAAATGGATCTAATACCATGCAGCTTAATCAATTTTTGTTAATCAAATTAGGATTTGGTCGTTTCCATTGGCGTAAATGGATGTATGGAATCAATTCGAATGAAATGAAATTGAGTCAGAAAGTTGTGGAAGTTCTAGGAGAGCTTCTGTTTGTTTATGTTTCAATTGTTAATAGATAATGTCACATTTTGTTTTGTTACCAGAAATCAATCGACTGTTCATGGAAAATGCTAAAAATTGTGTGTATAATACGGCATTTGTACTGGCCGAAAATGGCTCATTTTGGTCAAAAATTGAAAATGAGAAGCGAATGACTCATTCTTGCATATAAAATTTTAAACGCGAATGTGCCATTCCATCACATTCTGTATGAATGCGTCCCAACGACTTTAGCATGCGTTCCAAATGCAAAGGAATACGTTGAACATACCCTAAATAAAAGCTCTTCATGGCATTTTGACAGTTTGAGTGAGCTGTTTTTGACATATTTACAAAAAAAGGTAAGCAAATGTTTGGTGGTTACCTTTTTTTTTTGAAAACGATGCATCTCTTTTTAGAACTTCTATTTTCCAAAAAGTTGTTAATTAAAGTTAAAAACATGTTTTAGGTTTCTAATTGGTTTATACTTTAAATAAAAGAGAAGCAAAACAAAATGTTTAATATATTTATTAAGTGCAATAAATTATTGTTAGCTTGAACGCAATTGGTAGATATATGCATTTATTTCGACGCAAGGTTCATCTTGAATAAATATTGCACAACTCTGTTCTTAAATTTTTTTTTGCAACTACTCTCGGTAACTCGGTTGGAGAGAATATTTTTTTTATTTCTTTCAAATTCAAAATTGTGCTAGTCAATTTTAATTAAGTGACAAAACAATATGCAAACAACATAATTTACAAAAATTTTTATTTACTTTAATATTAATAAATGCACATAAATTTCATTGTGTTAAAAATTTCGAAAGATGATTCGATTTCTCATTTAACGTGGACACATTGCATGTCTGCCGCCATCAACAGGTAAGCTAACGCCTGTGCTAAACGTTGCTAAATCGCTAGCCAAAAATGTAATAGCATTAGCTACTTCATCAGCAGTACCAGGGCGACCAAGTGCATGAGTAGTTTTTGAATGTTCTAAAAATTTTGCATATGCTTCCGCATCCATGCCGCCACGTTTATGCAGATTCGTCACGGTCACCCCTGGATTTACACAATTTGCACGCACACCTTTTGCTGCCAGTTCTAAGGCAATACAGCGCGTAAACTGATCTACACCCATTTTAGATATATTATATGCTAGAACACCGGGAAACGAACGTATACCATTCACACTGGAAACATTGACAATATTTCCCTTTGTTTTTATTAATTCCGGCACCGCCAGCATTGTTAAATGATATATTGCTCGCAAATTTGTATTCATAACACGATCATATTGCTCCAAACTAGTGTTCTCGATTGTACCAGTTTCAATGATGCCCGCATTATTTACTAAAACATCAAGTCTGCCATATTTATCAATGGTATCTTGCCAAACACATTTGGTTTGGGCTTCATTGGATACATCACCAATAACTAAATGTGGTTTTTGTCCAACTGCAGCACATTTTTTAGCAACTTCTTCCAAATTGGCTTCGTTGCGTCCATTCAAGGCTAGCACAGCACCTAATTTGGCGAATTTTACGGCTGTTGCGGCTCCAATACCGGAACTAGCGCCAGTGATAAGCACAACTTTGCCAGCAAAGTTCATAGTGAAGGTCAATGAATTTTTCGATTCTGTTTGTTACGCAATTGAGCTACCACTTCACTATCACTTCACCCCCAGCAAATCAACTCAATTATTGCTTTGTTTAATTTTTTACTTTACTAAATTTTTTGAAATTTATGTCTTTTTGTTTTTATTCGTTTACGCTTTGATAATGAATTTCTCCAGTGTTGAATAGTTTGATTTTGATAAGAGCTAATGAGAATAAAGATCAAAAAGTGTTGTGTAGTCGTATTATTTGCTTTTCCAAAAACTTTAACGATGAGAAGTTTTTCTTCTTAAGATCGAATGAAACGACGTCATTTATAAGTCCTTTATAAGCAATATGCTATCTGTCTATATAAATTTGTTCACGAAATATCGAGCAGCTCTTAGAATGCCCTGCACTAATGCACATATGGAATAGGCGGAAGAGGCCATAAAACTTTGAAAAGTAGGTCTACTACTTTTTATTGACGCAACAGGGCTTAGAGACCTACTTTAAACCCAGAATAAAGCACAATAGACCCGACGGTAGGAGTGATATATCCCCTAACAATAATAATAAATAATCGGGCTTTAAATTTGTAAATACATTACCTTCATTCCACAAACAACAGCGAAACGCGCCATCTTGCGACAACTTCTACGTGCAACTTCAATGTTGACGACACAAACGCCGATTAACAACAAATAAAGTTACATGTACTTTTCATGTAAAAATTTCTAATTTTAAAGACTGTCTTGAGAACCAAGTAATATCTATATATTGTTTAGTAAAACAATTGATAAAGTGCCAATATATTCCAAAATTACTCATCAATCTCACTTAAGCCAAATATGTGAGTGAGATATGCGAATGATGGCAAAGAAACCAATATACTAGTGAGTAAAGTATTTTAAAACATTTCTTGGGCCAATTTAATCAGAAAATATGTGTATATATACGACGCTATAATTTAGAGTTAGTCTAATTCATAGATGGTGACATAATGATGTGTTTTATGAACATAAACTGGGATACATAATCAGAATGCCTATGGAAAAAAATGTAGCAGGATTTACATATTTTAATGTGAAATCACGGAAACACGCAAAAAAGGATGATCAAAAAATATAGAACGATGGCAAAAAATAGACATCGTCGGGTTGAATATAGTTCGGCAGGTTTTGTGAATTCATGGTATGTTAAACACCCTCGATATTTATTATTCAATTTATTATTTTTTTTTTTTGTGAGAGATATTTGCTAAAATTAACTTTTGCTTTTCTTTTCTAAATTATTTAATACTCGTAATCCTCTAGAGACTATTTAATAGAGTATATAACAAAGTTGACTTAAAGAAATAGTTTTCTGTGTGAACTTGGGGAATATAGATGTTTTGTGGTCAGCTCATCCAATGAACACTAAAATTTAATCTATTGATAATTTCTTTATATCAAACAGAAATAAAAATAGGCGGATCCAGTCTCCACATATAGACTGAAATTGTTCAGATGGTAACGCAGGTAGGTAGTGACTTTGAGTGTTGCGCCAATAGCAACATTTTGACTTTTTGTCAAAATGTTGTTGTGAGCCAATACTACAAAAATGGTCTGGTCCATAGAATTTAATGGGTGATCCAGTACTTGCAGATTGTTTGCAGTCTCTTTGCCCTTGTAGAAGATCTTGTTGAGCTACAAAACTTATTACATTTTCATAGCGTTTCATAGTGTGTTGTATTCTAGAGTGTTAATTTTTTGACATTATCTTTATAAGGCTATTAATTAATTAAGCGATTATTGAAGACATTCATTTTGGATCCGTTTTCACAATGCTGAAAAAGAGAACATTTTCTCAATCTCAATTACAGTTTGTATATTTCAAATCGTATATTTCTTAGACTTATTTCTAATATTTATTTCTTAATATCTATAAGTATAATAATTCCCTAACAAAACATTTAAATGTCTATTTATGGACATCCTGATGATATATAAGATATAAGGTTATTAGTTTCACTTGAATAATCGTAAATCTGTATTTATCTTACCCTTCTGCTGTTATAGTTTTTCACATGAATGAATAAGTTATTAACGAAGGACAAAAGTGCTTTGTAGTACACAACATTTTGAATTGGACTGCATATGATTTTTTTATAGAAGAGTTCGAACAGACTGGCACTTGCAATCCAACAAAATATATATATGGAAAATATATATAAACTAACATAATTAAATAAAAAATTCGAATATTTCCTAAGATCACTGATGTTGAGTACTTGGCAATACTCGGTCAGCCAAATTTAAATAAATTAATAAAATTTTTGTTGTTGTTTCTTCATTACAGTTCGAATCGTTCTAGTTTTCTTTTTGTCATAAGACGCGACACATTCGACCAAAAAGTGAACCTTAAGATTTTTTTATGTTTAGTTTTACTTTATTGTTAGGTATATTACATATGGTTTTATTTTACAGAACATGTATGTGTTTATAATTTATATGCTTTTTCAAAAAATCATTTAACTTTTCCAGTTTTTATTTGAGATTAACAATTAGAGCTGAGCACAAGAATAATCGGGGAATTTTTGTGTCTGGAGGAAATAAATTTAATCACATTTTGAAAAATACTCGTATAACAATTTATTTTATTTAACTCATTTGAGTTTTAATATTATTTTTTTTTAATTTTTAATTTGTATATATTGAATCAATCGCTGATTTTATTTTTTTTCATTTAAGTAGTATAAAGTATTCCCGTGTCTACAACTCTAATAACAATTTCCGTTCTACGTTCTAAAAGCGAGGGTCAGAATTCTAATTTTCTTATATTAAAATCTAAAAATTATATATATTTTTAAATTTCTTACAATATTTATTAAATTTTTTTACTTTATAAAAATAAATATTAATGCTGTCTTTCCATTCCACATATGAGATACAAAATTTTTTTCAAAACATTTTCTTTTGCTTAGAGCTAATTAATCTTTGGATAATTTAAATTATGTTTTAATATTTATATTTATTTAAAAGTTATATTTATTTAATTTTTATATTTATATGTGTAACATGTGCGTATATATTTGTTATATATTTTAATTGAATGTAAGCGTGTTTATGTATGGGCAATATAGCTAATAATATATAAATAAATACAGTTTGGGAATTAAATGAGTTAGAAATATATCTCTATTTAATTATCTTCGGACTGTAGTCGCTTTTTTTTTTTTGTTAAAATAAATAATACATATATATAATAAAGTATTGATTCTTATAATAATAATCGTTAATGAAGATGCATTCAAATAATCAAAGTGCTTATTATTAGCAATAGAGTCTACTCATAGTAGAGACTTATTTTATGTGGGGCTATTGTAAAATAAATTGAAGTTCATATGAAAAATAAAATTGAAATAAAATTAATCACTTCTACTGTAAAATATAGGTCCGCGAAGTTTTCTTGAGTACGCTATGAATTATTAGGGTTTATCATGGGAAATAGTTTTGTGTATCATATCACTGTAAGCATAACTCATTCCAAGTGAGCCTGTTATGGACACACAGAAAACTACAGTTAGTTGATTTTAAAACCTGTCATCTGTATAATTGGTAGAGTGCGGCTTATAGTTACTAAGTCAATATTGATACAGTGATTATTGTTGAATATGTTATATAAAGATTGATACATGGAGCACTACGTTTGAAAGTAATAATACGAGTATTAGGAATTCCTTCTATTGCTATATTAGCAATGCTATAAACCCTAGTGAGTAGGTAGGTTGTGTCACCTAGCAGTGATCAAGTATAGATTTGATAGATCCGTGACGATACTACACTAGAGTCTTTATCAAAATTAATTACGACATTATGGAGCATATACGAATTTTAAGATATAGTTTAGAAATGAAATTTATTTGATTTTTCTAGAAAGTCAGAAAGAAGCAAAGGGAATGCTCCAGAGTTTTCTTGAAACACGGTACCTTATATATCGTGATTTCGTCACTGCTGGTGATGTTTAGTTTATATGCTTGTGTTATTACAATATAGTCTCCTGTTAAAATAACTCGTGTTCTGTAGTTGTTTCGATTAAGCAACAATACACTTTAGTGTATATTTCATAAACCCTGTAAATCGAAAAAATAAAAGAAAAAATTTAATTAATTAAAAAAATTTTAGATCTTTAAAAATAATTAGGAGTAAATATTTTCTAAATATTTGGTATGCAAGCACATCTAGTATATAGAAATCATGTGTTAGATATAAATGAATATTTTTCTGAAAACACTACATATAAACTATACATCGAATTTATGACAAAAATTAAATTTATTAATAATATAAATAATTTTAAATAAATAAAACTTTATAAGGAAATATTAGGTATTATGTTTTATAGCATAATAATGAAAGTATTATATTATTTGTGCTACTCGTATAGTATTTGTTGTATTTCCTGATTAGAGACCACTATTGAAGTCCGAGCACATCTTATCTTAAAAAATTATTTACGTATATAGAAAAATATTTACATTGTTAAGCAAGGATTAATTAATAAATTATTTTCATATATATGTATGTAATAAAAGGACTTGTTTATGCATTTTTAAATATATTAATTAGGTCTTAAAATATTATTTAAATTAGCATTGGATATAAAAAGCAATTGATAATTAATAGATAATATAATTAATGGGTTTTATTAATCTAGATATATTTAAATTAATAATATTAAAAAATAATAATTTCATATGATTATTATGTATTAAAAATTGCATATTTCAGGATATCTTAATTATATAAAATTTTCGGAAGTGTAGATTTGTAAATATATATATATAACTTTTGTTAATATATAACAAATGTATACATTATTTTTTTTTATTTTTTGATATATTGAAATATGTTATTCTTTATAATTAAGTTTTTAGTTATTTTTTTATGTGTAATATTTTATTATTCATACGAAATCTTGTTCTTAATTCATGAATGAGTCTGTAATAAAATTTCCTCTCTTGGTTTTACCATAAAGTAGTACAAAAAACATAATTCTGTATGTTTTACTATGCGATCTATCCACGCTTCATGGCGTAGATACATTGGATTAAAATCCTAAAATTTTTAGAAAATGCAAAGAGCTGAGCTTTAAATTTGTTAGCTTAATGATTTGCAGCTTTCAGTAATAATAAATCTTTATACAAAATTGTGTTAAAACCAATTTGGTGGAGTTCAACTTTAGGGTACGGCGGCAATTTCGCAACTTAAAATAATTCAATTTAACATTTAAAATAGAAATATACAATTATTATGTACAGTTTGCATGTTGTATGTTTATAAATTATAATTTTGAACTGATTTCCATTATTATTTATGATTTCCATTATTGTTTATGATTTCCATTAAAAAGATTGCACTGAAATGAATTATTTTATTTATATTTTATTTTACTTTAAATAATACAAGTATGTATAAATTTTTTAACAAGCCCTAATTTTATTGAAACATTTAAAAAAAAATAATTATTACATTGTAAAGTCATAAATTTTAATTAGAATTTAGTTTAAAGTATCATTTCCAATTTTTGAAAAATTTTTCCATAAAAAATTTATAATTGGCACTTAGTGTCGGAAAAAAATAAAAAACAAGACCGCACATAGTCGTAAATTGAAATAGGCACGTTAAGGGCTTAAAAAATTCTTTTGAAGCTCATGCGGGTGCATTAGTAGTGCAATTGTGGTCATGAAAAACTTTTATTTTTTTTTACTTTCATTTCGTATGCAAAATTGAAAGTGAAAATATTTTATTTTTCATAGCGTGTTTGTAAACGTTTTGTCCTAAATACTAAGAAAAACCAGTAACTGACATGTAATGCGATTAAAAACATAATAGAAAGCGAAACTAAACGAGTACAACAAGAAATATTGAGTTCTAACAGTCTTCTCTACTTGTTTGAACATCAAAAAATTTGGGTTAAGGCTGTTTATCGTCCACAATTTTCCTAAATAGAATATTTATTTTAATAACGACCATATCGATTGTTTGATATATTAGACTAATAATGATAGAACTCCAAAAAAGACAGACGTAAGGAGTTTATGCTTAGTTTGGTTACTATACTTGACTACTTATATCTCGAAAATAAATTCCAGAAAAGCTTTTTCACAATTTTGCGATCAAGACACAAATAGATAAAATTATTTAATTTACTCAAATGGGAATACCATATTTTCTCGATTGATTGTACGTCAAAAGCCGGTCAGAATTTTTCTTAAACCAATATAAAGTAAGCAAATTCGTTCACCTTGTAACCTCATCCAGTGTTTTTCATGCTAAAATCTTTGATATAAAGAAGACATATATCAAGATATTGTAGTATTCTATAGCAATTGTACAGTCGAACCAAAATTAAAGCTCGTTAATCAGTTCAAAATTTCTGTCATTTATATATTGTTATCAAAACTAGGCATCGAGGAATACAAGGGAATTAATTTGTAGATAAACTAGCGAGACATGGATATCGGAAGCATCCTTTGTAGAGAAACAAATATTGATATCATTAATACATATCAAAAGCGTATATAATATTATTCTCTAAGATTAGCAGCTCACAAGTGGGTAATCACTTTAAGCTGTCAAAAATTCAAAATATTGTATACAAGTTATAATTAATCGAAAATCCTGCTTAGAATAGCAGAGAATCAAATATTGACTTCATTGAAAATTGTCCAAAAGCATAATACGCTTTATTATTATCTAAGATTAATGGATAATTATGGCAGGTCGATAAAAAAAACCCAGTTAGGGTTAGGATCGAATTAGCAAAACTTGTGTCATGGCTGACAATTCATGTTAGGTACTTCCCTCAAACAGAAATTCGGAAACAATAGAGATAAACAAAACCGAACTATGCAATTACCTACACGTTACCTTTATCGCACAGGTTAATTTAAACACTTAGAAAGTTATCTTCGATATCGACGCCCATGGACTTTTTGTATAGGAAAATAAGTACTGCCGCCACTCAAACTAATGCGAATAAAACTAATCAATGGAAAGAAAAATCTTCTCTTTGGATAGTCATAATACCATATCATGACATCGAAATGATCTTGTAAATTGTGTTTCTCAATTTAGTGCTTTTCATTCAAAAGATAATTTACTTTAGCTAAGGCGAGAAGAAAGAATACCTAGGTTAGGTAAATTAGAGTGACGGCAATGTATACCAAAGCTCAGTTGAGCATAAATAATGGTCCTTGTAATATCATCAACACAGTATCTCCTACAAGTAAGAATTTGCTTTTACTTTCTGTTAAATTCACATACCATTACTATTACTATTTTTATTTTTACTAATCAACTGCGACACATTCCAAAGTAAGGATAAATTTATCTTCATTTCGAACTAATAAAAATAACCTCATATATTTAATCTATATATATCTTGAAATTATGTACTCTATATATATAGTTTTACACCATAACTAAAGATATATTATTAGTTAATATATACTAACTTTTCTATAACGCAGTGCGAATTTTCTTAAATACAAATACATATGTTTTATATTAACAGAATGAAATTATTTAATAAGCAGAAACGAAAATATATGATATTTAATTATATTGAAGCTTAGTATATAAGTTATGCTGTTTTCTTACTGTACTTTCTTATGTGTCTACATATAGCATATATATAATAATATTCTGTTTGTTTATCTTAAACATGTAACAAATGTTATAATTCTTTTATTTACATTCTAATCAAGTAAAAAAAATAAAAAAATAATAATTTGCCTCTAATTGAGTTTCATATACATTCTACTAATTATTTATTTCGACTTTTAAGCACTTATGTAAATAAATTTCCTATATACAAAAGCTTAACGCTGTTTTAATAATATGTAAGCACTTTAAATTATAGTAATGAATTCGACATATATAATGTATTAACTTTTTTAATAATACATACAACTATTTGAATTTGTTTCAAACTTAAATAAAAAGGATTTACTGAAACTGGACATAAAAAAATAAAAAACTATTTACTTAAATACTTTGTTTTAAATAAAGTCAGTGAAGTGGAGTTGCTTTATTTTACATATTTATGATTAATTTAACCAATAAACAAGGCAATTACAACTTAAACATATTAGTTATTTCTAATTACTAATTATTATAATTTTCTTTTTTATTTAGTTAATAGACTCATTAATATATAGTTTATGCTTAAATTTAGTATTAGCATTTATTAATTTAGTTATTTTTTATTATTACAATGTAAATAGTTGAACAAAAGAAGAAGCGTATTAACTATAAATTTTGTATTAATTTTGTTTTTGAGATAATTCACTTTTACTATTTTACTAACCAAAAATGGATCTAACGTATATTAAGTTTCTTAAATTCTTAGATAAAAATCATTGTACGCTATTTTAAAAAACAAAAACTATAATCACACTAATCATCTGTTTACAAGGATAATAATTTCATTTTTTCTCTTACTCGAAATGTTTGAGATGTGTGCTTAATAATTAACTATGTGTTTTTAAATAATGCATTACTACGACGACTGAGTATAATGTACTTGTAAATGTATAAAAATATATATTGTAAATCGAAGATGTGTTAAAAATTAAATGAGAATGATGCGATGTGCCACTTTAACTTCCTTGCCCATTAATGAGCTCATCACAAATCTTAACTAGCTCATTGTTTTCACGTGCTTTCTGCTGTAATTGTTCACTTAACGACGCCCTTGCCAATTCTTCCTTCTTTAATGAAGCTTTCAGTTTAGCTGCTTCGATGTGATGCTCCTTTGACATTAATTCCAGTTTATTGTTTGCACTAAAAAATTAATAAAAATTAATTGAAAATCAATAAAATTTAAAATTATTTTATTTAATTGTTATTGCATCTCTTTATAAAAAATTCTAAATTTCTATGTCTAATATTAATGGATTTTTCTTAGGGATTGAATTGAATATAGATTTTGTTAATTCTTATAAATACCGACAATTAGTAATGACCAAAATATTGGATAAATAATCAATTTGAGAAAATATCGCGAAATACTTATGATAAATTTCCATATTGAGAATATATATATACAATTTTTTCTTGTGATATTTTGTAGCTATAAATACAATTTGCAATTATTTTTATTTATTTAAACAAACATTTTAATAAATATTTTCGTCGGCTCTATAAAATACATTTAGTTATGTTGTTTGGGACATTTTTATTGGTTTATATGGCAGCTACTTCTACATCGCAATCGATGTGATCTACTACTGTCTGTAATAAACTACTAAAATTAAGAATAATTCATATTGAAATAGAAAATGTTCCCATACAACAGCATATATTCATGTACTTCATAGACTGCCGTGAAAAAATACACGGATATAAGATATAAATCTGTATACTTTTTCTTTGTGTGCAAAACTCCAGCTTCTGCTGCTTTGTCACTGTCACGGCGTCATAACCGTAAATTTCTAAATGTGCGGCTTCCATGTGGAAACTTTTCATTTGAAAATATCTTATTGTCCATTATTGCAGATAAGGAGTATTGGGTAAAAAAAAATATTACTGGTCTCATACTATTATCATATAGTGATATGTATATTTTAACTATTCAACCATCACGATGTATAATATCTACAAAATATTTTATTACTATTTGAAGGAACAGTGACAAATACTACTTTAAAGATGCATGTGCTCTCTCTGAAGAAAATCTCATAAAGCGTATCTGAGAAAATAAAAACTTTTGATAAAACTAACAATATCCTTTTGTTTAAGATTGTAAAACTTCACTTGATCGTAATATATGTAAAAATTGTACTAATTAAATCTATACTTATACATTCTAAACTATATATAAGTTTAATGTATATATTATACTTTAACGAAGTATAAAATTAATAAAAATGAATACGCAGTTTGTTAGTAATAAATACAATCAATATCAAGTTCAAAACTGTAAATAATATAACAGTTATTAGCATCTCCGTGGTTGATACTTTAATCTAAGTTCATTTCCCATCAGGAACCAGGAAACGATCTGTTCTACACTAGGCCTTCAATGTTAACGAACTCTAATGTTACCTATGTCTGCCTAATTTCAGAATTGCTAATATATATTTTTGCTTTAATTAGCAACAAATTCACTAAAAATAATACTTGTACTTACAATTCCAATTGTTGCATTGCATGAAGCTTCATTTTCTCATATCGCTTTTCTTGCGAACGTATATTTTCTAAATGTGCTGCCTTTTCATTCAATAAAACCTCTTCGGTTTTCTTTAACTGTAGTGTCATTTCCTTGCTCTTTTCATATTTACTAAAAAATTATAAGACATTTTATTGTAAATGAATAATTTTTTATTTGTAAACAATTTTTTTACTTACACATGTAAATCCGAAAAGGTAGTTTCAAGAGATGTTAAATGTTGGTAATTTGAATCTCTATCAGATTTAATTTCCAGTATCTGTTTTTCATAGGATTGTACTATTTGTTCCTTTTCTGAGATAAGTTCTGCGATCGCTTTCTCATAGGCTTCAATAACGCTACTACGGATAAAAAATAACATATTTTAGTAATATGTATATACAATTATAATAAGAAAAAATTACAAAACAAGAAAATAAATATTAAACATAAATATTAATTAATTAATTATATATATATTATTATAATATATTTATAATCCAATAAATTAACAGTTGAAATAAAAAAAATATTAGAATATAGAACAGTAAAATATTGATTTTATATAAAAAGTAACACAATATTATAAAAAATATTAACAATAAATCAACATAAAATTCTAATATTAAATAAAAAGTAATAAAAAAATATATTCAAAATAATAAATGTCGAAATTTAATAAATAATTTTCGAAGGGCTTCGAAAAGTACATCAAGAAAAAATATTTTTTTTATTGAAATTAAAATCAAATTTAATAAATATATATTAATAAATATATATACAAAATTATTTTTATTATTACATCAGGAAAAAATTAAAAATTCATAAATTAACAATAAATAAATAACAGTTAAATTAAATAAACTAATTACAGTAGAACTTTTATAGAAAATAATTGAATAAATGTTCCGTTACATTTAATAAATAAATAAAAAATTAAAATAATAAACACAAAATATAAAAATCACAAATAGAAAAGAAATAATCAATTTAAAAAAAAAAGTAAGATGACATATCGAGAGCACGTCCAGATTTGATAATGGAAAATTGCAGTAGTATGCCAATATTAAATACTAAGAGGTGACTTTAGTATGGGCTACTTTTATTTATCATGGCTTGTATTTAATACTTACTGCATTTTATATATTGCTTTGTCTTTTTCTGTAATTCTTTTAATATAATTTTCCTCCCGGGATTCAGCATCCTTAAGCTTCTTTTCGATATCCTCTGTTTTTAATCTGCATAGTAAAAAAAATATAATTCAATAACAATTAGAAATAGCAATAACAAAATTTTATATTCAATAAAACGCATTTCATATCGGATAAAGAAGTCAAATTCAATAATTTACGTTAAATTTATAAGGAAAATTAGACTTGTAAAAATACTTTTAAGTCCATGAAGGGGGCTCAATAGATATCTAGATCGCAATGCAAATATTTCTAACAAAATAATAGAAATTTTATACTTTTATAAACTTTAAACAATTTTCATATAATTAGGAAACTAAAGTACAGGATTTAATAAAGGACTTTAAGCATTTTTTTTTAAAATAAACATTTTAAGAACTACAAGCGACTTCTCCCTTTTGTTAATGGCACGCACAGTAATCTAAATCGATATCTATAAAATATAAGTAGAAGAAATATCTCGATTTATGAAAATACATTTAAAACTATATATTTAGAATACTCCTACCACTGAACATTTTTGAAGACAAGAGTTAACTTGAGTCTATGTTTTAGAAGTTGTTTTAGATCTGTATATTTTTCTTTGTGCTCTAAATTCCAGTCTGCATATTTTTCTGCATCTGGCGCTTTGTCACTGTCACGACTTCATAACCATATCATAGTTACAAAGCCATGTCTTCAGCATATTGTTTAATGACAATACCTGAACCGCAATGGTGGATAGCCACTGGAAATTAGCACCGTAGATATATTTAACCCTACCACTCTCTAAAAAATGATGGCATATCCTACCCACACACAATAATAAACAGCTAACTAAAGTAACTAAACCTAAATGACTAAATAAATACCTATATAAATAAATAAATCATCAATTGAAAATTAAATATATGAATAAATAAATAATTTAATGAGGGGAAAAGAAACGTTTCGCTGGGCATTACCGTAGCTCATCAGAGTCAAAAAACTATAGGTCTAACAGACATGGCCTTGTCAGTTGGTAAGTTAACTACACATGTAAACGTGGTAAAGGAATAAGTAGGATAGGGGCACTAATGATATTAATAATAGTAAAATAATACTAATACTAATATTAATAATAGTGGAATAGTACTAGTAATAGTAATGATAATAATAGATAAATAGAGAGTACTTAAGCTAAGCTATGTTATCTTTAAAAGTTCTATCTTATTTTAGAGCATTTGCTCTTAATGGTTCATATTTAAAATGGAGTAAATTGGATTTAAATATATTAAATTATGTTTTGTTGTTGCTGATTGAATTTTTGTTGCTTTGTTACCGAGTTTCTTACTCTTGAATACCACTATTATTTTTTTTTTAGTAAATCACACCTACCATATGAAAATGCATTATCAAATAAAAATTCCTACACAAAAAATATAACTACAACGACGCTTACAGCATATCGGTCTTGACGTTACCAAAGAAATCATTAATCATTCATTGTTTACAACTTACACTTCATTTTTAATTTTTTTCTCTAGTTCATCCATTTGATAATCGTTCTGTTTTACATCAGATTGCGAGCTGGAAAAAAGTAAACAAATTAAATGATTTCATAACGAAAGCAGATAAATTAATTTCGATGATAGAAACTTACTTGGAGTTATCATATGACTTTTTGCAATCATTTTCTACATGTATATCCTTCGTCATGGTTATACTCATTGTTTCATTCTAAAATACAATAAACAGCATTTATTCCTAAATTGAATCCAAAGGTTATAGTTAAAAAATATCGGTTTACCTTATTAATGCTGCCTTCTTTTGGTTTAACTTTTGCGCATTCAGCAGCTGTGTCCTCCCCACAATTTTCCTCTTCTTCGATAGTTGGAGACAGTGTGGTAACGGATTGTTGACTAGTTGTAGCCACAGGTACGCCAAGTAATGGATCGAATTTTAAAAGAAGTGAACTTCGATTTTCTTGTATATTAGTATTGCCTTTAGACAGAAGATAATCAAAGGCTGCGGCATCAAATAATACTGCAAGATATTAAAGATTGAATTAATGTTAATATTATATGAACATAATATAATAATTTAAAACAGTATATTATTATTGTTGTTGCGTTTATAATTATGTATATAATGTAATGTGTAATATATACATAAGAGATATCTGCATATATCGAAAATGCTTACTACTTTTTCTTATTTGAGATGGTTCAAAACTCAAGGAATTGGGGAAAACTATTTAGGTTATAGGAAATATACATTTAAGGCGATAAACAGGAAATTCAGAAATGTGTGAAATGGAAATATTTGTGAACGTAGCTATGTTCTCCTTTTTCCATGAGGAAGACTAGGTTTGAAATTCGACCTAGTTGCTCTTGAAAGTTATAGGTTGTTGTACCCTGATTAATTAATTCAATTTTGGGTAGATATGCTTGGATTGTATTTTTTGTGAGCAGTGAGTTTATGTGTAACATGTGGTCGAATCATGCAACTTGTAAAACAGAAACATGACTGAATCACAAATGTTAAAGGGACACCAAATAAAAAAAAATCCTAATGACGAATCTTGTAACTTTTATCATGATTAGTAGTAACCTAAAATTACTACACCTATTCAGATGAGATAGAAATATCAATTAAATATTTCAACAGTGTATACATTGTCTTTGAAGACAATATTATTAATATGGTGTACCATTTTGAAATAAACATGTCTTAATATGCAATTAATGTTTTTATTTGATATCTATAACATTTTTTTAATGCAGTTAATGAATGAATGAGTTATCACGGAAAGCAATGACACAATCAATAGTGTAAAATATGTTTTTATTCAGATGTGATCCAATTATATGTGCAATATTCCTATTAAAGAAACCTAACGAGAAGAATTGAATTTGAGAGAAAAAGCTATCATTCATTCTAGTGGTATTGTCGACAATTGAAATGATTTCAGATATCTAATAGCGAAGGTAGAGCTTTCACAGCACTTTTAAATGCCAACAATTTTCTTATGATCAAATATGAAAAATAAAAGAAGATTACGTAAGTTTAAAATGTGTAAAAATTCATTACTACTGAGTAAAGGTGATATTTACCTTTATTTAGTATTAAGTTTAGTATTTTTCAGATATAGGCTATCAATCTTGTTGTACGGACCTATGATAATAACGTTAGAGTAAGTTTGAGATTGTCTTTCAAAGTGTGATTTTCTAATACAATAAGCAGTCAAATATACATAAGGGACGACAATATTTGGTAGGACGAAAATTCTGAATCTATTCAATCACCACAAACCAAATAGAAAATTAATGTATTTTTGGGGGCGCACCTTTCTCACCATTTCTTATCTAAGTTACTTTTCCACATAATCTTTTCCTATTCCTTTCATTTGATTATTTTATATAACACGATGAACTTCTACAACAACAGAATAATTCTTTGGGAAAAGTATATTTATGTTATTAACGTCATTAAAGTAGTTATTAAGCAAATACATATTTCGGTCAGGAAGCACGTGTGAGATAGGAGAAAAGAACAACTATCGGTTACAGTTAAGAAGTAGAGCTTCATTACATGGGACGTTGTCTATCAAGAACCCTTAACTACATTATACTCTTGTTATGTGTTCTTTTTATATTGATATTTATTTATTCTACTAATAAATTTAAAAATATTTGCAAAAAAAACAAGAAATAATACATGAAAATAAAAAAAAAAACCAGTTAATAACATAAGAAGTTTAAATAACTCATTTTTTAAATATTCAATTTTTTGATGCATGGGAAGGAGTTCACTTTTTCTCAATTTTTAAACCTAACCTCAAATTTTTTTAGTTTATTTGAATTTTTAGTGCTGTTAGCTGTCACTTTTTATTTGTTTTTTTGAGTTTTTTGTTATATATAAATATATATATTAATCATTAAATGCTTATATCGGTTGTTTAAAGGCATTTACTTCATAACTGATATGAATTCAACTTTCGTAGTTAATTCATGTGTGCAGTGTGATATTTTCTAAATATATTGTGATTTAATTATTTGATGGTCTAGAGACGCGATTTTATCACGAATAATTCATACTTAAACAATTGGTTTAATTTCTATAAATTGTATTTAAAATTATTAAAACTTTTTTTAATCCAGTTTGCCGGAAGCCAACTTAATATGGATACGGTTAACAGAATTGATAATTTTCTTTTATTTATTTTGATAACTTTTCTAATAAGTCTATTTAACATGTATATATGTGTGTATTTGTATATATGCAAATAAATTATATTATCTTTATAATAAATTCATTAAATTTAGTCTGCTTCTTCTTTATCTAGATTGTTTTCTCTGATATGTTAAAAGGTTATGAACGCACCAGTAATAGTTTTTTCTATTAATATATGTACATTAAGATTAATAGAAGTAAAACAAGAAGTTAATAAATTTTTAATTTCCCGCTTGCCGGTTTATAAAAACGCAGATAATCGAAGTTCAACTGTAAAATATATAAATAATAATAAAAAAAGACAAACAATAACGATGATAAAAGAGAAATACATATAAAGAGAATTTGTAATGAGAAAGAAGGCATAACAATTATTGCTTACATTACTTTTATAAATAATGCGATAACGATGTTAGAGCAATAAAAAATTTAAGTAATATATTTTTATTTTATAATTACATTGCAATTATGTCTATTCTGTTTGATGACACATATCACATAACAGACTTAAAGATTATCGAACTTTTAAACCGAATAAAAAATAAAACGCAAGACACAATAAAGAACGTTGTCATTTCAACTGTGATATCAGCATTTTAAACTGATAAAGTTATTTGAAATTATATTACTAACTTGTTTGAATTAGAGATTGAATCATATTTGAAATAAGGAAATAAAGTTCATAAGAAATTCGAGTTAATTATTCACAAAGTTGTAGAAATTAGTCGATGTATAACAAGTATTGATAATCATGACAATGTATGATTATGATGACTTAAAAATTAGTTATTAGTACGTCTCCTATTGTGTGAATAATATGTACATTATATTCTATTATTACTAATAATAATATTTAATAAGTTAAAAATAAAATTGCTTATGTCTTATACTACAGATAGATAGTGACAAAAGAATTTGAATATTAATTTTAGCACAACGTTTGGCCTATATATTTTTAAATATAATTACCATTGATGGTACAATTTACGATACTTTGAAATGAATAAATCATAAGTATTGATCTATATAATTCTTTGATCCGAGAAAAAAAAATGGTTGATAATATAACGACCCAATGTAACATTACCATATGCCCAACGAAATATGATACTAAAATGGGTGGACCAATTAGATAATGACTCGAAACATGGCAGTAAACATTTATCGCAGTAATTTCAAAGACGGTGTGAAATCAATAATTTGTGGAACACGGTACAATTTTAGCAACGTCCTTTATTCAGCAATGTCGAGGCGAACCCTTATTAATAATAAGAAATATGTCTACGAAATCTGAGGCTACATATACAAGATTCAATGTTGTGAATTGATTGATAGTCAATAAATATAAGGCTGCACATATTCAAGATTTTAGACCAAAAATTTTGTCTTCTTTATTATTTTAAAAACTAAATCTGGAATTATTTTTCAAGCGAAAAGGGAATCACAACTGAATATTTTTAAATTAATAAAATATTTTATAAAAATAGTTTTTTTTATATCTGTAGTAAATAATATAATTTTTATATTTAATGGAATTTTTTGTTGATCACACAGTTGTTGCGATTATTGCTAAATTACTTATCATTCTTTTTGAAAATTTTTCTTAAAATTGATGCTATGCTGATCTACTTATTTATCTTCAAATAAAATTGTGCTTATTTTAAATATTGATAAATAATTTTTTTACACTGCAAGTACCTACTTGAACTTGTCTTATTTAAATTACATTATTTACAAAAACAATCCTTTTGTAGCAAATGTCATGCTCCTATTTCCTATATAATAGGTGCTAGAATACGATTGATTGAGTAATTTCTAATAAAACTGAAATGAATTGTTTATGCTTCATAATAATAAATCTTTTTCTAACAGAAAACGGAAGAAGTGAAAGAAATTTTTAAATTGAAAAACTCAAGTTTAAGATAAAATAAATTTAAGTAGGCTTGTCAAATGATAGCGATTTAATTGTTTATCTAAAACAATTTTTATTTAAGAAATAAAGCTCTCTTTCGACAAGCAAAACTCAAGCTCTAATCGACTCTTATCATGCCTGTCCTGCTGTGTGGTGCAGAAACTTGGACAATTACCAACAATGATGAGAACGGTTAAGAGCATTCAAGAGAAAGATTTTCTTCGGAAAATGTATGGTTTCTTATGAGTTGGCAACGAGTACCGAATTAGATGAAACGATGAGCTGTATGAGCTATATCTCGACATTGAGATCGTCAGCGGCTTTGCTGGCTTAGACATGTTCAGGAAGAAAGTGCTCCGGCTAGAAAAATGTTTGATTCGTTACCCACAATTGGAAAATGCGGTAGAAGAAGTCCACATCTTCGGTGGAAGGACTAGGTGACCAACAATTTGGGGGCAACATTTGGTACTACCAACTGGCAACAGAAGGCTATTAATCGGGCAAGCTGGCGGAGGCTACTCAACGCGGCAAAGATGACTCGCGTGTGTAATGGTCAACTAAGTAAGTAAATTTATGTAATTATGGTTTTTGCATATATACTTAAAATAGCATAGCAAATAGAATTGTTGTTTACGAAAAAATAATAAAAATTAACACTTTTAGGTTTATAACAATTACGTCGGTTATGTGGGAGCGAGGACTCCATCGTTCAAGTTTAATTCCTAACACTTGCAGTTCATAAATTATTGATAAGAATCCGCGGTTCAATTTGAAAAATTTTTTTTTACACTCCATTCCAAAAAAATATATACAGACATTATTCAGTAGATGGTTTCAAAGATCACTGAAGTTAGATAAATGGCAGATTTTGAAACAGATGTATGGTCTACCCAAAAAG